TTGAGACATCTGGAAGTCTGGGCAGCTCGCTAATGAGCATGCACTGATGAACTCTGCGGCGCACAGTGATTCCAGCCCATCCACAGAAATGTCAGCCCTGTGCGTGTGCTCCGAGGCCACGTCTCGTGTGCTCAGAACAGCACGGAGCCCTCCATGGCATGCCTGATCAGCCCTCATGGAGGACACGGATAGAACAGGGAGCCAGACCGAGTTCACCCCCAGTGCTCCATCTCCCACGGTGCCTGTGTGTGTACAGCTACGTTTAAAATAGAATTTCTGACCTAGAAGTCCCTTACAAAATGATGGTGTTCCCAATGTGGAAGTGAGCTAACCCTCCTCCTAATTTTAGAATAGTACAGGCCCAGAACTAGAGGAATGCTTTGCTAAGAATGCTCTATTTGCATCTGTAATGCTGCCTCCTTTACTAGCATTTATTTCTGACTGTCTCCTTAGTTTCTTATTCTCCCATCCGACAGTGATCAATATTCTTTTCCTTGAATTAGCCAGTTTTTCGTTAATGACCAACAAAAAGGGAAGGCAGAGAGTCTAACAACAATACAACTATTTCTCCTAAAGGAAAAAGCATTGCCCGGAATGCATCAAGGAAATATAATGAGAGATGATGGAGGAAAATAAGGGAAATATTTCCTCACAAGGAGGTTTTAAGTAGAGTCTGGCAATGATCTCCCAAAGGAAGTAGTGGAAGTCTGGTCACTTAAATCAATTAAGACTAAGCAGAGCATCGCACTCCTCATGACTCTGTAAGGAGAAAAGCAATGTCAAACTGAACTAAAATAGACTTTGCGTGCTTATTTTCTGCAGGGCTGCTGTCTGTGTTTTGCTGGTAAATTCAATATGGCTAATGCTGATTAACATCTCTTGATGGTGATCATATCGTTGCATTGTTTCCAGCTTGTTCCTCAATAGCACACACTCACAAGGGCATGGCCATACAAAACACGTCCCCCAGCTCAGCTGGCTCGGTCTGAAAGACAAGAGGCAGATAAAGGGCAGGACAAGTTGTTTCCTCTCACCTTAACAGTGGTCACGCTTGTTATCACCACAACACTGGATTGATGCAGACCTCCCTACTGCACACTGAGCACAGTGTACCTACAGCAGGATAGCAGAGGCAGGAGCTGCACATGGACTTGGTCTCTTGGATTGCTGTAGAGCAAGGTGTGCCAGATACCTTTGGCAGGGCTGCAGTGCCCATGTCTTCTGTGCTCTAGATGGGTTTTAATGCATACGAGACTAGCTGGGGACAGAAGCAAGACAAGTAAGTGCTTTATCCTTAGTCTTGGTGGGCTGTTTGGCATGCTCCAAGTACAAAGAAGAAGTCATCTCATGCCCTGCTTTGAAATATAAGGGAAAGAAATCAAGCTAGGATCTTTGCTTTTCTCTCTGTGTAAGCATTGTTGTTTTGTGTGTATGCTTTACTTTTTCTCTGCCTGGTTTTCTAGTAGCCAGTCAATTCCATTTAAACGGAATTGGAAAAAGGCAAAGGATTGAAAGGCAGGGAAGTAGTAACTTGGCATATGAGCTTGGACAGGGAGCCCAGTGGAGGTTCCCACAAACTGATCTGCCTGCTTAAACGTTAATTTACACAGAAAAGAAGGTTTAAAAGCAAACAACTCTTGGATATCTTATTTTCAATAGAGAATAACCCCCGGGATTGTTGCTGGCGTGGGTTTTTACCCATCCAACAAAGGTCTCTCTCACGTGTAAATGAAGACTGTTGTAGCAGAGGAAATATCTCTTTCCTTCTGCAAACGTAGATCAACTTGTTTTCACTAACTTTTTTCACTTGGGATGCATCAGTCAGATCAAATAATTTTAAAAGACTGTCCTTATCTCTTGCTGGAGAAATGCCTGTGTGGTGGTAGTACGTGCAGCTTCAAAGCCTTTTCTTTCCCAACGTGCAGTGTTCATAGTCATGCTCCAGTGGCTCGATTCCAGCCTTCCTGCCAGAATGCATCAGATGCGAGCAGTCCCAAAACTGGTGGGGCCGAGGCAGGGAACCTGCCACCGGAGCCGAATCAATATTTAGACAGCTTCAGGCGGCAGAGCTTGCGCTGGCTTTCACACTTGGCAGCAAGCTTTGCACCCGTTTGTTTCCAAAGTTATTGTTTGTGCAGTTTCAGGAATTGGCACTAGAGAGATTTCTGCCTGAGGGCAATGACAAGTGCCGCGTGCTTGAAAAGAAACTCTCCCCCTTTGGATCTGAAGATTGTGAGAGTGAAGGTTGTGTCACTGGGTAATACCTCAAAGGAAGTCAAGGCACACATTTGCTCGGAGTTTTCGTCATCCTTCACATGAGGCATCTGCTGGGCACCATGGGGAGCTCACGGCACGGCCTCGTGCTCTGCTTCCGACTCTGTGACAGCTCTAACAGCTGCCTTGCTGCTGTTTGTTATCCTGGTGATTTACCTGGAGCAAAAGCCTGTGCCAGCGTGGGAGACAGCCTTGCTGCGGGGTTTAATGAGTCAGCCCCAGGCTGTGCAGAGTGCCTGTGCTGGGGCGGCAGGCAGGCAAGTGAAACCCTGGCCCAGCGCAGAAAATTATTTTAATTTGCTTTCCAGCCGTTCCACCTAGTGGCCAAGTGCCACCACTGCCAGGAGAGCTGTGTTTGTGCTCCAGAGTCCCTGCAGACCTACGCTGCTGCCGAGCTTACAAGATATGCAGCAATATGTAAGCCCCCACATTGAAGATCTTACCATCAGCCTGCGAGTAGCTCATTAAGTTCCCGAGCAATTTTGTTAATCATGCTGCATAGATAAAATGCAGATAGGCCTTTAGTGAGCTGATAATCTAACAAATAGGCAGAAAGTGTAACACTGATAAAGCAGAGATTGGTTTAATAGCCAGCTGTAAATCTTGGCAATTCTGTACCAGAGGCGTATTGTAAAATAGGAATGTGCAAGTGTGTAAGTGCGTGCATGAAAATGCACTGCTTCTTAAAATAGCAGATAGAGCAGTAATACTATGGATGGAATAGCTATTGGGAGCAATTTTAGAGGTGTTAGAAAATACTTTTCTCCCCATCAAAATCTGCACCACTTGTGGTGTCTTCATAATCCACCATCATAAATACAGATCTATGAATAACAAAGGCTTGTTTCTGGAAGTCAGGATTTTCTATAAAAATCTCTGAACTCTAGCACTACTCCTGAGGCAATATAGGGCTTTATAGGCTTTTCATTGAGATGAACCAAATTATTCACTCAGATGCACTCCAGTCAGGAATTAGACCTTTGCAAATTCATGGCCTGATGGCTCACCAGCCTTTTGAGTAGCTTCTTTGCTCAGTGGCATTAATTCAATTGGAAGAATAGTAAAAAGCAACTCACCTTCAGGGTATCCCATACCATCCCAAATATACCCTTCTGAGGAGCTGGGAAATGGGAGTTTCAATCCTCACAGCCTGAGGGGAAGGAACTTGGTCTCCTACTTTCTAGGTTCCCCTTCTGTCTTTAGGCCATTTTGCAAAAAAAGGAGGCAGCAGTGCTTCCTCTTCTTGTTTGTTTTAATAGAAGAAACTGAGCTGGGGATGCCTACCAGAGACATTGCATCCAGAAGGAGGTTGCAGGCTGTACGTCCCAACCTCACACAGACATGCAGGTGTTGGCTGTGCTGAATCCCATCTAGAGGCCTTTGCCTGGTATGCAAAGCACAGGGAGCTCAGATAAATTAGTGCTACTTGCGAGAAAGGCAAGAAGGTGTCTCAGTGAATTGAGACTGAAGGGACTTACCAGAGTCATGTAGTAGGTGGTTGGTGCAATGGGAAATTGAGTTGTGGTCTTCTCAACCTTGTGGCCAAGACACTGAATTTTCTTGTGCAGAAAACTTAATCCTTGATGGTGAGATGTGGTTCTGAAGAAGCCTCTTGCTGCTTCATGAAGAATAACTTTTCCAATCTCTTTGTTTCATACCCACTGGGAGAAAAAAGTTAACAGACGTTAGTGGCAGTCAAAGTATTTTTGTCACAAATAGATAATATGTATAGTTTACTATGTGGCTTAGCAACTTATCTGATAGCTGTATGTAAAGATACAATGGTAAAAAATGGGGGAGGGGGAAGTGTGTACTTTTTAATGCATGGTATATCAATGTAATAAATGGATTACATACATAGATTTCCATACCATAGACAATATGGAAAGGAAACAAGATGAGTAGCAGGGCATAAGTCAGACCTGGAACAGCTGACTGGAGATCACTCTCCTGGAAACAATTTTTACTCTTTCTACAAAGAAAATGGTGGGAAATTAAGTACTGAGGTGGGACTCAGAATAATTTATATTATTTGAACTATAAATATAATTTCTTTTCTGTTAGCTGTACCTCAGGCTCACTAAAAGCGGGAACAGTATGAGGGGAATAATCTCCATGGGATGGAGGAGAGTTATGCAGTCTGTACTTACCTATTATGTATTCAGCAATGGTTTGCAAAAAATTGAGAAGAAAAAAAGGAAATGGGTTGCTTCTGAAAGAGGTAGAAAGATGCCTTCTGTTGAATTTTGCTGTAATACTAAGTGTTTCCTTCCCAAAACACTTTCTGGATTTAAGTGGTGTCTTAAGCTTGAAACCACTCTTTGTTGGACCTTCCATCAGAACAGAAGAATCAAAATTGAATTGGTGCTTTCATGATTGGGTGCTGCAGCACAGTTCAAATGAAATCTATTTAAGACTTAGCAGTGTCCAGGCTAATTTTGTCAGTCTTTTATTAGGACAGAGACTTAGTTCATAGGTCTTCAAGATGCTTAGGAAAAATAGTGCTCAGTTCAACCTGTACAGTGCTGTGCAGGAGCAACACAAAGGGTGCAGTGCTAGTTCCTGGATGTAGCATCGCTGCAGGTGTGACAGAAAAACAGCTGGTGTTGAGCAGTATTTATTTCTGAATGCCAGATACGTTTGTGTGTGTAACCACACGATGAAGGACCTGGGATGATAGCAAGAGCTGATGGTAACGCTGGCAATTTCCCTCTCTCTTTTCACAGGTCACTGTCAGGGGGTTTGGTCCATTGTTACAGTTCGCCTACACTGCTAAGCTGTTACTCAGCAGAGAAAACATCCAGGAGGTCATCCACTGCGCAGAGTTCCTGCGCATGCACAACCTAGAGGACTCCTGCTTCAGCTTCCTCCAGACACAACTGCTGAACAATGAAGATGGCCTGTTCCTGTGCAAAAAAGATACCACCTGCCAGCGCATGCACGATGAGGAGAACTCCGATGGAGACGAGGAGGAGACGATGGAATCGGAGACGTCAAAAATATCTTGCCCAAGGGAGAGGATGCACCAAGAACCCTTCAATTTTGAAACCACTGTTGCTGGAGCAGACAAAAGCGAAGGGATGCTGCCTGACTCTGACATGCTGAGAGATAGCAAGGACAATTTGGATAAAGATGCAGTAACACGGTACCCCAGATACAAGAAATACCAGCTTGCTTGTACCAAGAATGTCTACAACACATCACACATCAGTACCTCAGGTTTTGCAAGCACATTCAGTGAAGAGAGCTCTGGAAATGGCCTCAAATCAGGACTTGCTATGGGGCAGATAAAAAGCGAGCCTCAGAATGAAGAGAACGATGAAGAAAGCATCACACTTTGCCTGTCTGGAGATGAACCTGACATCAGGGATAAAGAAGGGGATGTTGAAATGGACAGGAAACAGCCAAGCCTCACTTGTGTCGACCGGCCAAAAAGTGGGTCTTCTCCTTCTTGCTTGCGGTCTTTCTTCAACAGAACAAAAAGCATAGATTTGGTTGGCTTCCCCAGCACTTCCCAACAGCACTTTGGCAGGAGTCCAGCATGCCCTTTTGAAAAAGGGACAACTCAGGGTGACCACAAAACTGACTATGTCCCTTTCACGGGGAACTATGGACAGTCCCATGCCATGCAGAAGGATGCTTCCAACTTCACCGTGGGATCACCACTCAGGGGGCCCGGCTTTGAGACTCTGTGTAAGCAAGAAGGGGAACTGGACAGGAGGAGCGTTATATTCTCTTCAAATGCTTGTGACCAAGTAAACACTTCGGTGCATTCATATTCTGGTGTGAGCAGCTTGGACAAAGACCTCACTGAGACTGTGCCAAAGGGTCTGTGGGCTGGCAGTAGCCAGTCTCTCCCCAGCTCTCAGACCTACTCGCACAGCGGACTGACAGCTGATCACTTGCCGGGAAGGATGCGGCCGAACACCAGCTGTCCGGTGCCAATTAAAGTTTGCCCTCGCTCTCCTCCTCTGGAAACCAGAACCAGGACCTCCAGCTCGTGCTCTTCCTACTCGTACGCAGAGGACGGCAGCGGCGGCTCTCCCTGCAGCCTGCGTCTGTGCGAGCTCTCCTCTTCCCCTTGCTCCCAAGGCCCCCGATTCCTGGCGCCCGAGCACCAGGAGCCCGGCGTGGTGGGGGATGGATTGTACAACCCGGTCCGAGCCCAGATTAAATGTGAGCCATCCTATGGAACAAACTCCAGCGATGAGTCTGGGTCATTCTCAGAAGCAGACAGTGAATCATGTCCTGTGCAAGACAGAGGGCATGAGGTAGGGATTTAAGATAAGTACAAATATCACAGTTGTTATAACCCGATTAATTGCTCCTTGATTCTCTCAAATGACTTTGTATTTCCCCAGCACTTTCTTTGTTTATAGAGGCAAAAAGTAACTTCTGGTTATTCCCCCACCAGCTGAGTGCACATGGTTGACTTCACATTAATAGGTCTGCTTGACCTCCGAGGTGTTCGGCACTTCTAAAAATTTGGGTATAGGAAAACAGCAAACTGCTGAATAATGAGAGTGCATTGATGTGCTTAGGAGTCTGCCAGCAGTGTCCTGTCTTCCTCCTTCCCTCACCAGCTTCCGTGGCACAAAGAGCTGCTCCTTATTCTTAATTTGCTGAGGTGGTTCCAGCTCCACCAGGTATTGCTGCAGGTGTGTTTGCTCAAGCTGTGCCTTTCCTCACACCAAGAGTTGGGCACCCTGCTTGAAGAGCCAGGCTGCATGTTGCCAGCAGAAATGTGAAATTACTCAAACAATTGCATATCTGGCCACCCTGTGCTGTGGGAATGGCATTCAAGTCATCTTCACACATGTATGTGTGTGTGTGTGTGTGTGTGTGTGTGTGTGTGTATCTTGCATGTTCAGGTACTGGGTTTTGCCTCTATTATGTGACAGCTTGAGATCATGTCCCCTGCCTGTGACATTTTGTTGGGTGGTGAGCTGTAGCAGCCATGGCACGAATGGTTTCAGAGAGAAGTTATCCTTTAATTTCCAGGATTGTTAAGGGAATGACAAGAGAATGATCTGAGACTCTAGAGCAAGCCGTCAATTTCCATATAGTTCTCCCAAGAGAAGGAGGAAAAAGAGGGACCCCCTCTAAAACTAGAAGTGGGCCAGCTGAAGGTGCTGCAGTGATAACTGACTAACCACGACCAAATTTTTCTGTGTGAAGTCACTAGTTTGAGAGCAGACTTAAGGAGATGTGTTGTGGAGCCCAGAAAGTGGAAAAGACTGGATGTTTATTCACGAAGTTTCATTAGGAATCTGCATGACCTAGAGAACATCTGGGTGAAATCACATATCAGGTTCTGCTAGTAGTGATAGAAGTAGTGCTAGTAGTGCTCTCCAATGAGAGCTTGTGCTTCAGTGTGGGGAGCAACGAGTGCAGCTTTGGGGTGTTCATATGCTGAGAGCACCCAGTTCAGAACTCTGTCAGCTTAGTTATGGAATGGAGATGAAAAGCATTCATCATTTATTCTGTCATTTATTCTGTCCCTCAGTCTTTATTCCAGCTACATCCCAGGCTTTATTCTTCAGACAGATGTGGGTGCTTCCTTTAGCTGGCTGCTTAGCTTTAAGAAAGGGCTGAAGAGCCTGGGGAGCCTCTAGTTGTCTAACCCCTAGTCACACTGGGCCAGTGATTCTGAGAGGACAGTTCTTCACCCTCATGTCGTAAGCAGGGGATGATGCAGAAGGGAGAGAAGTCTCTCTGGGAGGCTGTCTGGGATAATGTGCAGGAGATCTCATTTGGGAAGCCCTACAGAAGCTCTTTTTGGGTATAGGTGGGTTACTCAGTGATGTCCTGCCTTTACAAGGGGCAGAGGGCAGCAGGGACCAGGGACCATCCATTTCCACCCATGTGTGCTGCTTGTTCAGCATGAGGCAGCACAGGGGGCAGAGGTTAGACTTTTGAGTTTTGATAATGAATTAGCTGTCATAATTACCTAATTGTGTGGAAATATGCTGCAGCAAAAATGAGCCTGGAAGAGTGAAATTAGAAGGTTACAGGGGACTGGTGGTGGTTTCCTAGAAAAAAAGTGTGTGAATATGTGCAGGAGGCCATGGATGAGATGAGGGACACACAGGGAGCAAACAGGCAGCTATAGGAGGCTATCTGGGTGTGCTGCTGGCAGGCAGATATCTGGCTCTGAGACAGAGCTAGGAAAGGTTTGCTCCACTCCTGGTTTTGCTGCTGGTTTCCTCTGGGGAAAATTTTCTGAACTGTGCTGAGCAAGTTTTCTCCCTGGGACTGCTGATAAGGCTTTTTTTTTTTTTTTTTTTTAGCCCAGGGCATTTTGATTAGGACTGTTAGGCATTAAAAATGTAGGGAGGAAATTAATGCTCTGTGAGGTTGCACTGCACTATCCTGAACAAGCCACGGGTAAACAGATCACACCAGTGGTTTGGTAGAGATTTTGTTTAAAAATTGATCTTCTGAAGGTTGTTACCAATACAAGAACAGACTTTGCAGCCTCATTAAACAATACTGTATTAATACAGTGACTTGGGGTGTGTATCCTGCAATGCTGCAAGATCTGCTGCTGTGGAAACCTCAGTAAAGGGTATCTCAAACCAGACAGTCGAAAATATGTAAGAGCAGCAGGAAGTTCTTGTATAAGTTGCTCTACCTGCTTTTAGCAGTTTGGCTGTGATTAAAACAGCAGGAGAGACTCACAGCTGTCTGAAATGGACAGCTTTCTGTTCCTCACCTCCCTGCAAGCTGCATGGGAATCTTTCTCCATTCCTGAAATTGTTGCTTTGCCCTTCCTGTCCTGATGACTACACAGACAGGTCCCTTTCCCCCTCCATATCAGAACACACAGTGTTTTCTGGGCTTCTATTCAAAAAGCACCTGATAAGATATCTGGGGGTGACATGCTTGCCCTTCTGGAGAATGGCCATGCAGGTTCTTCTGCTGCAGGTCATCTTTCATTGGGGTGGGATGGCCTGACAGGAATAAGCCTGGTGGACTCTGACTGTCACTTATCTCACAGGGCTGCTCAGTTCCCCTGGAATTTGGACCCAGTTGGTCTAAATTTGGCTCCCAGAGTACTGTTGCTGCCAGAATTAATGTCACAAACCATCATTTGCTGGGGTATTGATTGTGTGAGAAGTAGGTTAAAGATTTCTATCTGCTTTTTTCAGGCATTCTGCTTTCCCACAGAGAGATGCCATTCAGAAGCGCATGGCCAACCTTGTTTGGTGCCAGAAGTGGGGTGCTAGGGCTCAGCATGATGCTGTGTGGGTGAAGGTGACCCCACCCTGTGATGAGCCTCTGTCTTATTGAGGGTGCAGATGACAGTCACAGCTGTCAGAGGAGGTGGCAGTCCTTGGAACACTCCTTGGTAAATCTTCTCCAGGATGTCCTTGCTTATTGCTTCCCTTCCTGGAGCCACCAAGACTCTTCTGCATTTGTTAAGGCTTCCTGACAAAAGCAGCAAGTGGAATGTAGGGTGTACCCATGGTACAGAGTTGCAGGAACAGGGCTATTACTTGAGCTATTGGGACTTCACAGAAATATTTAATAGTTTGTCTTTTCACTCAGCTCTCAGGCCTCCACAGGTTGTGAAAAATCAATTACTGAGATATAATACTAGAGAGAAGACTTAAAGCTCAGTGCTTACCGGCAGGTACTGACAATCTTGCTTAAAATAGCAACAACAAAACAATAAGCCCTGAAATAATGAATTGTTGAGAAGGAAGTAGTCTGTCAATCTGTTAACCTACTTAGGAACAGAAACTTCTGCACTACCTACTTTTCTTGGCATTCCTTTTCTTCAGCAAGGAAGAGTTGAGAGTACTTAAGAGTTTTTATCTGCTAGAAAATTTGTAAAAAATACTGTACTACTAAACCAGTTAAAAAGAAATCTCAGCTCAGTCTAATTTGATAACTGAGTTTTCTGAGGAAAAAAATAAACAAGGGTAAGAGGAGGTAAGAGGTGGAGTTTTCCAAGAACTATTACTATCTAGAGAATTGCATTTAATGTCCTTTCATCTGTATTTCAAAAGAATTTGCCACCTGGGTTAGTGACTCACTTTTCAAAGGAAATTTTCATAAAGGGAAAGCTAATGCAATTAGACCTTTGAGGATATTGTAGGTAAATAACTTTCAGCAAGAGTCGAAACCCCTCCATGTTAAGTGACAGGCAGCCTCTGTTCATCTGCTGGTGCTTAGCAAAGTACTCCAAGTCAGAGCCCCAGAAAAGTGGAGTAAATCAAAGTTACTCTACCAGAAATGTGCTGTAACTATGCTGAGTTACCTAATCGGAGACTGCTTCACTACTAAATATTCCTAATCAGTGAAGAATGTTACATGGAAAAAAGGGCAACCAAGAAAAATACATGAGAAGGTTCTAACTTGCTGTGGTATGTGATACCTCCCCAGAATTTGATGATCAGTAACACCAGCTTTCCTGTTTTTACTAGGTTTGCAAATTTGAAAATGAGAAAAATTAGTCTCCAGATTTTCTGGTAGATGTTCTTCTGACTAGGATGGCATCAGCAGAGCACTGGGAATTGTTTCTCAATGTCTGTTTAAACAGCGTCTTGTCAAACATCAGTCTTGTAAGATAAACTTCATGGAAGTTTTTTTTCTTTCCTCTCTTCAGTAGGAATGGTCTCCATACTGGCAGCAAAGAATTGGTGGACTACAAAAATACTGAGAGTTTGAAATTCCAGGAGGGTCATTTTAAACACTATATAATTTTGTGGAGCCCTACAACCAATTCTTTTATACCCTGATCTGAAGACCTTGCACGAGCTCTTGAAGGACTCCAGTTCTTAAGCTGCAAAAGCAGTTCTTTCAGAGAAATACTGTACTTTATCCCCTCTCATTTCACTGCCTGATCTTCCATTCTTAAGTGCACCTGTGGCTTCTGTCTGTGTTTCTGTGCTCTCCCTGGTCTCAGAGAAGCCTGTTAAATAGCAGGAATATCATACTGTTGTGCCCTTTGAAGGGCTGGAAGCTGGGGACATTGCAAGCAGTGAATGAGAAGAGGTCAGCCCAGCATTCTAAGCACCAGCAGTGTGTGGTCTGACTACAAGTCCAAGTCATGGGCTGAAGGATGAGAACCCCATCTACATCTCCTGATTGCTGGGTTAAAGCATTCAGCCGTGGGATTAGCCTGGTCCTCCACTTCTGTGAGGCAGGTGGCAAACCAAAAGGTTACTCAGCCTGCTTCCATTAGGTCCACAGCTGTGTCCTCTCAGACAGCATTTTCTGACCCAAACACCTCTCATGGCCTTCACAAGGTGAGGCTGGAGTTGACCTATGGGGCCATCAGTTGTCTTGTGTCAGATGGAACACTGTCTGCAGTGGAACCTACTGATCTGAAGGGGGACCATTTAGTCCCTGGTTTGTTGACACAACGGTAGATCTTCACTGCCTGGGCTCATCATTCCCCTCTTGCAGTCCTCAGCCGTCTTGGTGTAGTTGACACCTGGAAAAAGGAGGTGTTTTGAAAGCTCCACCTGTGCCAGTAGACAGCAGGATGAGAAAATGCATCCTGGCTATCCCTTACACAAAGAATGACCCATTACCTTTGTGCTTCTTAGATAGCCTCTGTCCAGGTGAAATCAGAACAGGAATGGGTTCCTAGTCTGTAGGACCACAGGTGGTGCCTGAAATACCCTGTAGACAACTAAGCTCCTAACACAGGTGGACATACCTCAGCTCCTGTCCTGGAAGGAATTTTCTTTCTGAATGTGGAAGACAGACTTGCATGCTAAGGAAGATACTTGGAAACACAACATTAATGTCTTGGGCTCTTTTGTGTGAAGCCAAGTAACCATTTCTGCATTAAAAAAAAAAGGCATTAGTATGATTGAGCCCCTGTGCTGGATTGCTTGGGTGGGTCCTGAGAGCCTTCCAAGGAGTCAGCAGGTTTAAGTGTCAGAGGCTTTCAGGATTTGAGGGCACTGAAGCAGCAGGGTTTTTTCTCACAACTCTGGAGCAACTGACCAACTGGTACAATGAGTTTCACCTTCCCATGCCCACTACATAATGGTTGCTTTTACTTATGGATAATATATTTGTCCTTTTAGTTACTGTGATGTTAAAGCGAGGCTTGGGAAGTTCATTGTCTTTACTAGCACTTGGCTAGGGTGAGGTGATGTCTTAATTAAAATATAAAGAGAGAATGAAAAAACTAAAGTTATCCATAGGATAAAGAAATTCCCAAGAGTTGACATTTATATTTTAATGTGAGTGAATATAGGTCTTCAGTCCTTTCCTTTGTTCCAGATGAAAAAGAAAGGGGGGAGAGCAGCAGCAGTAACTGGTACAACAGACGAGCAGAACAGCAGTAACTGGCATGTGATCCAAGCTGGCACTAACTAGTGAAGCTTGAAGGAATTAATTGGTTATTTATGGGCCTTGCATGTGCTGAGTAAGTCGCTGTCCCTTCTGTCTACATCACTGCTCTGACTTAGCCTCACAAAGCATTGATATTTACACTGGCATCCTAATGCTAATAAGGGGGTTGAAATGCCACAAAATCCTAACCAGGTTTCCTTTTTCCCCAGGGTGGATTGGCTGTCCTAGTCAGAGTTGGGGCAATAGAGTCTGCAGTGGTGGTAGAAGGTGCCAGTTTATTTGTTGAGTGGTGGAAAGCAAGCTTGTGCTGCCAGTGTGAAAATGCAGGGAAAGAGTAATTGTGCTGATAAGGCAAGATTTTGGAGCTCTGTGAGGTTAGCTCTGGCTGGAGTAACTCCTGGAAGGAGCAGGGATCCCACTTACATTTTTAATTTTAAATAGTTTGAACCAAAAAATCATAATAATTGGAAAGAAAACTTTATGAGAAAGCATACTCGTTGGGGTTTTCTTTTCATACCTTAGAAAAGATTGACTGTCTTTCTCAGACTCCTCAGGTAAGGTTTCCGTCATCTCCCATAGATACTGTAAGATGCAGAATCTTTTCTGAGTCTTTAAGTCCACTCGTTCTGCAGCCAGAAGGAGGGAGAAGCCGTGCAGCATTGCCATCTGAAGGGACCAGGACATTAGGTAGTCCCAGCCCATCATTTCAAGCAGCTCTGGGTGAGTCAGATGAATCCCACGCACTGCACAGTTGCAGGCTCTAGCTAAATGACTCACCACTCTGTTATGATAAATAGCAGCTGAGAGTCTTGCCCTGTGCAGATGTAAAACACTTTAGCCTCTCACTGCAGCAACACCCCGGTGCAGTTATTCACTGTGTCCGTGCCAAAAGCTTGGTGGGTTGGTATTTTTTTTTTTTCAGTTGACAGCTGATTTCGAAGAGGGAGACAGGCAATAAAAATGCTGTGAATGGTGAAGGAAATGAGTCTGACTCACTTCCACTTTCCCTTTCACATTTTTAATCCTGTGCAGTGCTGCCTGTGGCAGGAGTGGGATTATGCTGGGATTACTGATAGCAGTCTCTGATCTGCTGTGTAGATGGTTTTATTTTCAATCCTTTTTTTTTCTTTTTTTTTAATGAATCTGTTTTTGTTTATTTTCCCATATCCCTTCAGCAACTTCTACCTGACATATTTAAATTGCTTCTCTTTCATTCCCATTCCAGCTGCAAGCACATCTCCTCCTTGCAAGTAAATATGTTTTGGAAGGGAGAGGTAGGGAGAAAGAAAGTTAACATTGCTTTCCGTTTTGGTCTTAAGAAAATAAGGAAAGACTGTGAACATGAAAGGGCTGGTTTTGCAGTGAAACTGTGGTGTCTTTCAGAGGAAAGCACTGGCTGTTTTCATTTTCAGACCCTGGTTGAAGCTTGAGAGAAAAGCAGGTGACACTGAGTTTATGTTGACATCCAAAGGCTGGGAAGGGGAAATCAAACAGGTTTCATGTCATTTACTGGCAGTCTGTAAACAAGGTAGTTCACATCACTGTGCCTAAGGTCAGCCTTTGTGTGTACAAGCAAGAATTTGGGAGGGTTTGGGCAGCCTTTGGCATTCCTTGCTGGTTTAAATTGACCTGTCAAGTAGGGTGTTATGAAGCAGTGCCTGGAAATGTGGGGCAGAGGGGCATGAATGAACATTCAGGGCATGAAGCCATCTGAAAGCATGTGGTAAGTGTCTGCACAGAACTCCATGTACCCCAGGCTTGCCAACGCACAGGGCAATGTTAGTAGGGTACAAGAAAACACCCAGGAACACCCATAAACAAGGTGAGGAGCTGGTTACTGGCAGGTTCAGGTGTCTGGTGAGGGTCCATGGCTGTCAATGCCAGGGGCCACCACTGTGTGTTGGTGTACGTGTGTCCTCAGCAAACCATTCTGCTTTAACAACTCAGCTCTCTGAAGAAGATAACTTATAATCCATGTTGTTACTTTCTTTATTTCCAAATAATTTTTAAGTGCACCATTTGAAGACAATACATGTTTCAAATATCAAAGGAATGTTTTCAACCCATGTTTTCCTTTTGGCTGGAGCAACTTACCTTCTCTGATAGCCTGCGTGCAGAATAGTCTCCTTGTTCCAGAGGTTCAATTGTACCAAATAGGGACAGAAACGTAAATATTTACTGCCATCTTTTGGGCAGTGTGGGTATGACTCAAAAAAAAGGGGGTCAATGAAATTATTCTGCGTCTCCTTCAGTTTGGTCAGCTGATTCTTATTTGACCGCCAAATACAAGAGTTGGCCGAGGAGCATCAGTTTTTTGATAGTTATCAGTCTGAGGCTCTAAGTGAAGCAAGGTTCTAAGGAGAAGTGCTTACTTTGATTTGAGCAAGCTGATAGATTTTGGGTGGAAAAAAACTAAAATGCTTTGAGCACATCCACCATTCTCCAGCTTTTCACACAGTGTGTGTTCATTGCTTGAAACTGCTGGGAGCTCTGTGTTTTGCTCTGCTTTAATCCATAATTGCTAGGATTCTTGAAGTCAGACCCTGACCTTTTCAAGAAACACAATTTCAGTGCTCTTTAATCTGCAAGAATATTAGAGTGTCAACATATATAGGTTTATTTTTAAATGTATATATTTTAGCAGGATAGGATATGTCGCATCTCACTCTTCTGACCCTTTCTTCTTACATAGTGTACCGCTCCGTTGAAATGCTGATTAGGTGACCTTTCCTAATTGCAATACAGTATTTTTCATCCACTCAAGGTGTCAGGTTGTATTTTTAACCTCATGCTTAATCAAACTTTCAGTCCTGCAGTCCAAGCAGAGACACGTTTCCTGCTGTGGTAATAGCCCCTTCCTTGAAACTAGTTTGAATTTAATAGCAGCAAGGTACTTCACTCTTTCCAATAGGCCGTGGACAGAACCTTCTTTTAATGCAATGAGATCATTTATTAAGGCTTTGTAGAAAGATGAAATTTTTATCTGGGATTCATATGTGTTGCTGATTTAAGTACAATTATCATCTTATCCTTACCATCTGGACCTCCACAATGTGCCACAAGGGAGGAACTTGCTCAGTGTAAAACTTGGTTTGTTGTTTATTGAGGGGGTGGCAGCAAAAGATAATCGTCGTTCCTCTCACTGTTGTTCAGCTTGCATTGAGCAGGCAAAATATGACTCTTTGCTCTTGTCTTGTGTTTGTTTGTTTGTTTTAGGTGAAACTTCCTTTTCCTGTTGATCAAATCACAGATCTTCCAAGGAATGATTTCCAGATGATGATAAAGATGCACAAGCTAACCTCAGAGCAGCTCGAGTTCATCCACGATGTCCGCCGGCGCAGCAAGAACCGCATTGCAGCGCAGCGCTGCCGCAAGAGGAAACTGGACTGCATTCAGAACCTCGAATGTGAAATCCGCAAGTTGGTGAGTTCTGTGCCCTTGCCACGGCCCAGCTCGCCCTCACACTGTAGCCTGCAGGGCACCTATAGCAATTCCAGACTTCAATGGGTTCAGTCAGTTCGTACATTCATGGGCAGAGTGCACAGTGGCCAGTGCCACCACATTTTAATGTGAATGAGGTGACTGGAGCGAGGCCAAGTGGCTGCTCAGAAAATTCTTCTTGCTTTCAGTCGTGGTATGAGCACCTCAGGTGGGATTTGATGTGCTTAATTTCTTTTGTTCTCTGCTCAAGCTGTAGGAAACATAGTGTGAAAGAGGCAGGGATCTGTTGGAAGAAGCTGAGTTACCATCACCTCACAAATGGCAGGAAGCTGCATGGCTTTGGGTTACTCACTTGCTGCCTGTGCCTGTCTGCTTCCCGTCTGTAACAGGGAGGTGACACTGACCTCACAAGCTGGTTGGGAGGCTTCAGTCACCAAGGCTTGTGAAGCCTTCAGATGCTGTGCTGATGAAGCCCTGGGGGAAAAAAAAGCAAAATCAAAACATTCTTCAGAGTAGTGCTCCACTGATGCAAAACAAACAACAAAGATAAACAAAATAGTGAGCAACTGCTTCCTGCACTGAGTATAATGCACAGGGTGAGTCAGAGGTTCTGCACAATGACAGAGTGGATGGATCCTCATCAGGTTGTCAGAAGAAGCAGGTCCAGTCTTAGCTGCACATGCTTGTCCCTCTGCACTGAGCTGGTGATGGGGAGGAGTTCCTGTCTCTCACTTCCAGAGCCTCAGGAGCAGCACTCTGAGAGCTGGACTAGCAGCAGGGGGTGATTCAGCCTTATACCTGTAGCCTTCACATGAAAATTAGTTAATTGATTTCATGCAATCCTGTGACATTGCTGTTATTGTCTGATATAATTAACTGTCGACAGACAAAACAAAAATTTCAAGTCCTCTCCCTAGCACAAAAACACATCTCAGGAGAATGAATGAAAGCTTATGGAAGTGGCCCTGTAGGCTTGATTCCTGCTCAGTTTGAGGAATCGAAAACCACTTGAGGTGTAGGATTCTTCCCAAATAAAGTTGATGTTTCTATTTAGCAAAGGGGACTTGAATATGTGGCAATATGCAGTGAGTGAGCCAAGTAGGGAAGGCACCCCACTGGACCTGTTTGCAAACAGTGAAGGGCTGGTGGGTGAAGTGATGACTGGATGCCTTCTTGGACACAGTAATCACAAAATGGTGGAGTTTTTGGTTGTTGGAGAACTAAGTAGGAGGATCAGCAGAACTGCCACCTTGGAATTTCAAAATGCAGGCTTTGGTCTGTTTAGGAAGCTGGCTGGGAAAAATCCCTTAGGAGGCAGTACTGAAAGGCAGAGGAATCCAGGAAGGCTGGACATTCTTCAAGAAGTAAATCTTGCAGCCACAGGAGCATGTACATACCATGTGCCAAAATGTGAGACACTGGAGAAGACCAGCCTGGATGAACAGAGAGTTTTGGCTGGAACTCTAGGAAAAAAATGAGTTTATTATCTTTGGAAGAAGGGGAAACAACTCAGGAAGACTACAAGGATATCATGAAGTTATGCAGGGAGAAAATTAGAAGGGTAAAATCCAACTAGAATTTAACCTGGCTACTGCTGTAAATTACAATTAAAAATGTTTTAGGAGCAGACAAGCAATAAAAGGGAGGCCAAGGAGAATCTCCATATCTTATTGAATGCGGGAAAAATATAGCAACAAAGGAGGAAAAGGCTGAGGTACTTAATGCCTTCATTGCCTTAGTGTTACTCAGTAGTAAGAATGGTTGTTCTCCAGGTACCCAGCCCCCTGAGCTGGAAGACAGGGACAGGGAAAAGAATAAACACACAACACATGACCACTGGAAACTCGTTTGTTGTCTTCTGTCCACTTTGTGATCAACAGTTTCCAGTCTCATTAATTACATAATGGTGCTGTGGTTTAAGGGTTTTTCATTTGTCTGGATGTTTTTTATGAAAGACCTCTTTTCCCCCTGTAGTTACTTACTTTAAGTCGCCCATCTTCTTGACACAGATGGTTTCACAGCAGACAGTGAGTGAAATGCTTGTATCCTCAGAGTTTGATAGGTAATTTTTTTTTGCCTGCTTTCACTCATTCATCTACCCACTCACATTCCCTTTTTTCCCTGCAAACTCGCAGCATATTCTCCTCCATAATTCATCATCTCAAGATGTACTTGAGCATCTGTTTATTTTTTTATTATTTTTATGCTTTCTTGATAGATTTATCAATATTTTAGCAGTTAGTTCTTTTCATGTGCACTGCTCTCTTTCACATACACACAGCTGTATGTTTCCAGTGTGAGCTCTGGACCCAGGGCAATACTATCAGCTGTCAACAACCACCCATAGTTGGATTATCTGAGTTGTGGAGCTTTCACACCTCAGATGCTGAGACATCTTGGGTTTAGCAGTGTTACTAGGTGAGATACGTGGCTGCGCTGCTTTTAGGGCCAGCTCAGCTCTGGAAATAGTTCTGGTACTCTACAAAATCTCATCTACTCTCTCGAGCTGTATGCCCACCTGCCTGAGACAGAAGGAGATGCAGGACCATCCCAGTCAGTCTACACTGTATCAACACCGTTTTTTAGAGGTGAAACCCTAAGATGGGTTCATAAAAATATCTGTATTAGATCAAGCCCAACCCATTAAGCACCAGAACATAAGAAAATGAGCCATGGTGCAGGCCACAGAGCACACTTAGATCCCCTCTTCTGAATGAACTCATCTCTCTCAGTGGTAACCGAGCTTCAGGAGGTGCACCCAGCCCAAGCAGCCAATCTGACAGTTCAAGGGTGAACCAAACATCAGCAGCTTTTCCTCACCTCAGGAATTAACCCATTTTCCTGCTGATTAGATGGGAAATGGCACTTCTCCCTCAAAATGTTTTGTTCAGAGCTCTTTTGTACCATCTGTCAGGCAGCCTTAGTTTATAAAGGGAACAGTTCTGTGGGAATAACTTGAGATTCTATCCTCTTCCAGTTGAAATGTTTTTCTCCAGATGTTTCCCAAACTACTGTGCACACAGACTGTGGTGGTCAAATACTTGATGTCTTTCTGACTTTTCCCCTGGCCATATGAAAACAGGTGTGACATATTGGCATTTTTGGGTACTGCTGGATACGTGCCCAAAGTGAGCAGGCAGTGGATGTCCCTTCCTCAGCCTAAGGTGCCTTCTTTCTTTTTCAGGTGTGTGAGAAAGAGAAATTGCTCTCAGAAAGGAACCAGCTGAAAGCAAGCATGGGAGAATTGTTAGACAACTTCTCGTGTCTTTCCCAAGAAGTGTGTAGAGACATGCAGAGCCCGGAACAGATCCAAGCTCTCCACCGATACTGCCCCGTTCTCAGACCCATGGATCTACAGCCTGTCACCACCATCAGCCCCACCCCAGCTGGAGTGGAGCAGAGCCTGGTGACCTCCCAGTGCGTCGGGGAGAGCATGCAGTGCTGCTCGGAGCAAGGCTCGGTGCAGCTGGGAGCACCCTGGCTGCCCAACAACATCTCGGAAAATTGTTCGGCGGGCGCGGGATTGGATGGAGCCGACGCAGGTACTTACCCCGAGAGAGAGCTTCCACCAGAGCAGAGCAGCCAGACGGTCACGGTAGACTTCTGTCAGGAAATGACTGATAAATGTACAACAGATGAACAACCTAGGAAAGATTACACCTAGTGACTCGTAACCTTAACGTTACACCTGGTCAGGTGTTCTTCAGTCAGCCAGTGGCAGTGTTCATTTGTTGTCTAGAAGAACGTATTTGGTGCACACTACAGTGGTCTTAGCAGCAATACTGTTTTTAAGTATTCCCTCCTCTCTACAAGCAGGAGTTCTCTTCACAATGGTGCTATCCCTTGCTCAGGCAGGGAACGAAGCAGTGGCAACACTGTCTGTTTTTGTATGTTGATTTCAATCTTAACAGGGATGGACATAACACCTCTGAGGACCCAACCGCAGCTTTTTTCTCAGTGGCCCATGTCACAAAACCCTAACTCAGGAATTTCCTCTGAATGTTCAATTTTTCATTGAAGACAGCTTCTTTACACATCAAAGTTTTATAGCTAAACTGTACATATTATATATAATATATATAAAATATATATATCCATATGCAAGAGTCCCTGCATGCCTCAATTTTTCTCATCCTACAAACTGGAAGCTTTCATTTCTATTGTACAAACAAGTTCCAACATTCCTTTTTGTCTTTGATGCTAGAACTAGTTTGGTAACTTGTTACACGATAATTTTTTCCTCAGTTCACAGTTCAGCAATAGCATTCAATTTGTACTTATTTATAAAACTTTAATGTCGGAAACTTATTTGAGATTTTATTATAGACAATTTTTTTGGCACAGCCATTCTGTGCCACTTGAGCAATGTGGAGTTATTTTATTTTCTTGCAGATACTGTACAGTAATGGTCAACTTTGCCACTTGCACTGAGTTTCTGGTCAAACCTCTTTTCATAAATGAAGTCATGACTTCAGAATAACTTGAGTATATGGTTTTCTTTGCTTTATGGCTTAAAGGAAATAGAAAATTTTTATCTAATAGACAAACACTCAGGAGCTCATTATGTAGTAAAAACGGTCTTGCCAAATACTGAATTCACTATACAATTTGTAAAGAGAATCTGCTTGAATTATTTTTATATTTAGACTTCTTTCTGTTTCACAAACCAAGTTTAAGTGCTGTTAATGATGCTTTTGGAGTCTTATAGGGGAAAGTATATTTCACTCTTCAGAGAAAAGTGTATTTGACAACTGGATCAATTCATCAAATGTTCCACGAAGTAAAGCAAACAGAGATCACGTCAATATACTTGGGGCTTCTTCTCCAGCCCCACTCTGCATCCTTTACTCATGGAAGCAACTGCTGCTCCGGCTAGTCCCCAGAGCCTGACCTCAGCTGTCCTCAGACCTTACCTGTTCTCCCCACCAGACCCAAGTTGCAGAGGTGGGTCTGGTAAAGTCAGTCACCCTGCCTAGGTAGGCAGGGTTGCAGGATCACACCCCTAGTTGTTGACTTTGGCTTCCTTATGGAAGTCCAGCTAGCACTGTATCCTCTAAGAGCAAAACATACATTTGCCAACACCAGATTTGGTCACTTACCCATCAAATTGTTTTGTTCCAGGATCCTCTCATCCTGCAGCATTGCCCTCAGCACAAACTGCAGCTAAAAGAGCGCTGTCTCAAAGGAGACTACTCAGTGAATTGGCTTAGTTGTAACTGTATTGGACTTGTATCTTAATGTTGACTCATGTTATGACTGTGTGAGACAGCAGCTTTCCAAGCATAATATCTGTATGTACAGTGTAGACAGAAGAACAACCTCCTAATGCTTTTTTAATAATTATTACTATTCTAAGTGTACTGAGTTTTTATTTTGTGGTTCTTTGCCCTACGTGTGCCAGGTTGTGTGGCTTTATCGACGACAACTGTCATGTGCTTTATTGGCTGATATTGTTTGTTCTTGCTGAAAAAAAAATTACCAGCTGTTCACACCTGTTAAAAAAAAAAGTGTGGAGAAGCAGCTTCTCAGAAGCACTAAATGATAATGTGGTCTTCTGTGCTAACGTTTACACTAGAGGTGTGCGCTGGTGGTTTTTTGAGGCACTCAAGTAGATCAGCATCTTGAACCCTGGAGGAGGAATCAGCTCCCTCTCTCCACTTCCTTCCATCTTCAGACTGTGCTCATGGACTGTCGCCCACTTGCCACAAAGTCTTGCTTTTATCCTCCTCATGCAAACTATTGTAATTGTAGCCAAGCTACTGAGGAGGAAATGCATATAGCATGTGCCATGTTTGTTGAAAATACTTTTTTTCCCCGCATGTACAAAGAAAAACTAGTATATAATGTAGGAGAATATTTATGTTTAAGTATTAATCATTACTGTACAAAATCCTTACCTTTAAATGTTCAAAAATATACAAATGCCATAAACTCCTAGTTCACACGGTTGAAAAAGGGGGAGGAGTTGTCCTTTCTTTTTAAAAGAGCTTAACCTAAAAATATCTGAACCCCCTCCCAACCATCCTTTGCAGGTAACTTCACTGAGAAGCTCTTTGGTGGGGGGGTGGGATTTGATTTTCCTTTTAATTTGTTGACGTTGCAAAGCAGTTCTGTGCTTCGCAGAGAAGTTTTGTTTCTATGAGACCATGGTGAAAGCTAGAATTTAAAACTAAATGTGAATCACATTATAGAGTCATAGCTACTTGGGGGGGGGGTTGGGGGGTGGGCGGGAGGGAAGGGTCAACTGACACAGTATTTTAAAGATGTTTTTCTGTTGCCTTTTTTATTTTTAAGTGACCTCCTATATATATGAATAGATAGAATGTTTTATGAGTATAAAACCAAGTTTTAACTTGCTTCCTGACATGAAGATTTACTCTACTAACAACTCATGTGCAACTGGTACTCTTGACCTCATTCCAACGGTTTAAAAAACCCACCCACACAACCCATTGCGCTGCAGCTCTTAGGTTTGACCTGGCCTCATACTGGTGCTGGGTCTCTTGATTTCCTCTACCTTGGGAACTGATATTTAAAACCACTGCTCAAATAAGTGTCTCTTCCTCAACCTTTCTCTCGTCTCTCTCTTTCCCTGCCCTGCAAGCTTTTCTGGATGTTTGATTTCATTCTTTCCCATTAGAAGTGGCTGATTTTGTGTCATTGCTTCCTATATTTACATGTATCATGGTTTTTCAGTGGGGTTTTTTTGGTGGTGGTGGTGGTGGTTGTTTTTTGTTTCTATTTTGTTTTGAAGTTTTTTTGCTATTTTGAACCATGTGGCTTTCAAAGCAGTTACTGGGCTAACATTAAAGGAAGATACTGGGAGAATTAGTTTCAGACCTGGACATCAGTTTACATACCCAACTGTTCTTGTCTCACGAGGTCAAACCAAATGACCACAAAATACCATTGGAAAGAGCGGGAAAAAAAAATCTGACTGCAGAATTCTAAGAGTTTGGCCAGTGGTCACTGTGATCTTAAGAATCTCTTTGCGTTTGTCAAAGAGGATGCATGCAGCATCTCTCCTGCTGGACGTTGCTTGGGAATGGCACAGTGAGACCCCATCTCCCTGCTGAGCACTGCTCTGCTCCCATGGGCATGTGAGCCCTTGGAGCTCTGTCCAGTCTGTATCTAGTCCTCCTTTTCCTCTGCCATTGCTATACTTGTATTGCCAGGAAACCTCATTTCATTTAGGCTTGTTATGCTTTGTCAGGTGAGTACTACACTATATAATGTGTTTGTTTCTCTGCGTTCTCTGGGGGTGCCTTGAACACAAAGCTCATTGCAAGCTGATTCTGGAACAAAAAGGTAGTGAAAAAATAAATTTAAAAAAAAAAAAGAGTGAAAACAAAACAGAAAACAAGCAAAACAAAAGCAAAAATGTTGGCTGTGTTATCAGGAGATCCCAGTATTTATATCACTGACTTCCTAACGTGGTGACTCAGGCGTCAAGAGTTTGATGCTGCAGTATAAAACTATTATTTTATATATTGTACAAGTAATTTATTAAATGTCTTTCTAAGGGTATATGCTGCTTTTAAGATGCACTATATTTTTGGATCTAATCCCTGTATTATTTTTTTTCCCAAGGAAGTAAAATGTGCTGCAAAAGCAAGCCACAGTGATTAGTATGCTAACTGCTACTTCTCTTTAAAAAGGAGAGTGGGAACGAGATACGTAACTTTGCTAAGTGGATTAACTCCTGCCAGAGAAATGATTAATGCTGATACTGTGGTTGTTAATCTGGAGAGCAACACTTCATCATGTCTGTATCCTAAAGAGTGCTTAAATAGAAGTTAAAATGCCTAGATATATACTTTTTTTAATACGTGACTTCATGATTGCCTAGTAAATAAAACGAATCTGCATGCTGCAATCACTATAATCCTGTAATAAAATGAAAACTGATCCACTAGGAGAAAGCATGGTGAAGCATTGAAATTCCAGAATCAACACCACATCCTCACCTGTGTCTTGTAATCTGCTGCTGTGGTGGTGAAGAGAGAGCAAGGGATGCATTCGCAGAATAGGAGACCCACAGTAAATTTTGCAGTGAGCCGAAGTGGACATTTGCCAGGTTTCCACAGGCTCACATTTTGCTCCACTTCACATCCTCTACCATTGCAACAAGGAGTGCTGCTTCCACCTTTCTTTTTTTCCCTGATCTGAGATGATTTTGAAGGTGCCTCTGGGTGAATGTTGTAGCCCATGGCTACAGCATTTTAAAAGCCTCTATTTTAGGGCTGCCTTGAGAAGTTTTAGCTCAGTATGAGCAGCGGCTTTGCATAAGGAGGGGATCTGCTAAGTATGGAGCAGTTTTATTTTTATCAGAAGTGAGGTGAAACTCAAACTATTAACATAAAGAATTTCTGCTCTCTTTCCTGTTAAAAATTTTCTCAACAGATTTTGACTTCGTTTCAGTTTTGTCTCTGCCAACACAGTCCAAGTTAATTTTGCATCCATATATAAAATACGTGTATGTATATATACATACATCTATAATTCTAGTCAGAGTGTGTGTTTGTGTATTTTCCTGTTTATAATACATATATGTATATTTATAATACTCCCTGGAGTATTTTATGACTCAGGCATCAGGTCTGATGCTGTAGAATACAATTATATGTGTATATGCATATGTTCAAATACTGTGTGTATATTTAAAAGATCTATTGTTGGTGGTCTGTAGAATAATATTCCCTTTACTCTCAAAATTTTAATGGCATTACTTGCAAAGACTAAGTGTACAGTATTTTCCTACACTCCACCAAGATAGGTATTATTTATATCCAAGTCAATTATTGATAAGCATTTTAAGGTATTACATGGATAATATTGCCATTTTTGCAATCAAAATCACTTTTTGGCAGGAAGGAATGCTAAAAATATCTTTTTATAAGCTTACTACCCCAACCAAACGACTGCTGAAAAGCCAGTTAGATGACTCCTGTTCTTGTGCAAACTTAAGTGACTGTGGGCAGAGCCCTTGCCATAAGTGAAAGTCACTGTGTGGTTCATGCAGTGCCCCTGTTGTCCCTTTTGGCTAATTAAGGGCATGCAGAAGGAAACTAGCATCCCAAAATAGAAAGTGGGAACTGGCAGTGTTTGATCTCATTGATTGCTTAGCAGCAGAGATGGTCCCAGGTTACAAACCCAGACAACCCCCCCCCCAGCTTTGGAGGGAGCCAGGCAGGGGCTCATGCTTGCAGCCAGAGGAGCCCAGGCTCTGGGATGGGCAGGGCAGAGGAGGGAGCAGCTGCCCTGAGCTGGGGGCTGTGGCTGGCACCCCCCACCCGGGCCAGTGGCACCCTGCGTGTGATGTACCCGAGAGAATCGTGCATGGTTTCAGTCCTGTTCTCACTGCTGCGTTTGCTCTGCCTGAAGCTCTCTGGATCCCTCAGACCAGCAGGAATGATACTAAACACTTTGGTGGTATTTGGTGCGTGGTTGTTTACTCAAAGTTGCAAGCATCACCTTTGATTTCAAGGGTGGGGATGCCCTAAGAGTTTGTTCCAGAACCAGTTGGTTACAAGTGCACCTCTTATATATGCCTTACAAACTTCAGAGGCCATATTCAAAACAGGGTTTTATCAGTGTATGCAAGGGGGTGCAACCCCTCTTCTCTTCCTCCCCAGGTCAAACAGTATGGACAGTTTTCACACATATCTACCTGTATAACCCTCTGTACCTCTCATAACTGGTCAATGACTGTAACAGGTTACATCAGGTGTTTTTTCTACATACTTTTTACACAAATTCTATGCGATTAATGTAACTTAATTCAATGCATCATTTTATTGTACTAGTTCTTAAGCTTGTCTTTATTTTTTTTTCTAGGTGACTGTGGTTTCTTGTGATTTTTATTGTATAAATAAATGAGGTGGCTGTTGATGCTTACTCTCTGTTACTAAGAATTTTTACCTTTTTGGAAGAAAGCATTGCTATGAACTAATGAATTTAAAATGTCATTTACTCATTGTAAATACAGTATTGTGCAAAAAAACAAAAATGAAAAAAAACCACCCAACCCTTTTCATTCATTTGAATTGCTAGTGTTAACTGAATTTTGTCTAGACACCATTTCTGTTGATGAAATAAAGACATATCATTATGTATTGTAAATTGTCTCATCTTGACTCTGAAATCAATGTTGCAGGGCTCAGTTAACACGCAGGTTTAGGTGAGATACAGGAGGGTGGGTTGGATGTGGTTGTTACTGCCAGGTGAATCTCTGGACTAACGAACAGACTTCTACTCACGTGGTCCCACTGCTAATTTACTAGTAGTCTTTGATCCAGGGATCCAGTTACCTTTGATCTTCAGGAACAGCCCAGGGTGTTCATTGCAAACATGAAATAAGTTTTTTTGGAAGATCAAATAAGCTGTATCTATATCCATGCCCCTAGTGCATGACTTAAGGCAATTCTGCTCAGTCTTTGTTTCGGTCTTCTAAAACGCCAGTGTACTTCTTGGAAGGTAATGGAAGACGCTGGGGTTTGTTTCCCCTTTAAGGAAAACCTGAGAGAGGTTTCTGTAGAAACAAAACAGAGCTGAAACATCTCTGTAGTATTCCCTTCTGAAAGAGGAAACTTGTGCCGTGGACCATTCGCAGGAAAGCCAGAAAGGAAAGAAGAAATTACAACAGCTTTAGACGGTATTTACCACAAGCAGGACATGGGGTCTAGCAGGGAGATGTTTGTGCTGTGGAAGTCCCACATCAACCACCTCTGTCCTTGTATCAGATGCAGGCTGGGAGCCTGCTCAGCAGCTTGGCAGAGGAGACCCAGGGAGGGGGGAATGGCGTGATAAGTTGTTCTACCCTGGCCCACACACTTGCTGGGATGATACCCTGTGGAGTGGGGAGGAGGGCAGGCTGCTAGAGGGAGGGCCCCAGGCTTTTTTGTCACCAGACAAAAGACTGTAGATCATGTTCCCTTGGTCACCAACCTTGGACATGCAAGCTGCATTCTCCTCCATTTGCAAAAGTGAAAGTTGACTGCTACGTTTCAATCAAAATTCTCATGGAAGAAAATCAAGTGTTACTTTTCAGTTGCATTACTCAGTTTTCCAAATCTTTCTGTTGAGAATATATGACACAGGCTTCCCACCCCATCAAATCTGTCAGAAAGTGTTGCATCCGCCATGTCTACACAGCCTGGCAGTAGACTTAAGTACATTAGCAAAGCAGTTTCTCCAT